TGGTTGCACAGTTACAGGTTTCAGTAGTATACAGTCCACTGGAAGATGACTTTTGCACAAATCCTTTTGTATTGCTTTGAAATAAAGAATGTCTCAAAAATGTTTACTGTGAGTTAGAGCTAGTCCACAGATTACAGGGAGTCAGCTCTGGGTTTGCCACAGCATGAATGTTCTAGAGGAACCTATAGCCATTTATGGCTCGCTAGTGAGTATATTTATAACAATACAAATTTACTGCATCCACATTTTAAATGTTTTGGTGTACATTTGAGGTATCTTAAGTGTAAACCTAAAACATTTAATGAGTCAAGAGGCTACTCATTTGTATGCCTATATAACCACTTTTTTACTACCATATATGGATGCAGCATTTGTGACCAATCCCATATAAATATGGTGGAAATCTGTAAAATGCACATTATAGTTAATACATTTCTGAGGTCTGTATCCCATTTTCAGTCAGTTCCCCTTCCCATTGTGCCTGTCCCCCAGGAGCTGCGATGGGAGGTGAAGAAACGTGTTATGGGATACAAGCTTATGTGTACACCTTAATCGCTTTTTTATGTATGCACTTGGAGATGGGAGTAAGCAGTGAAGTGGCTAATTTTGCGGATGATACGAAGTTGTTCAGGGTGGTGAAAACCAGTGAGGATTGTGAGGCACTCCAAAGGGATCTGTCAAGGATGGGCGAGTGGGCGTCAACATGGCAAATGGGGTTCAATGTGGCCAAATGCAAGGTGATGCACATTGAAGCCAAAAATCCTAAATATAAACACACATTGATGGGGTCTGAACTGGCAGAGACTGATCAAGAGAGAGATCTTGGAGTTGTAGTAGATAACTAACTGAAAATGTCGAGACAGTGTGTGACTGCAATGAAGAAGGCCAATGCTATGCTGGAGATTATTAGGAAGGGTATTGAAAACAGATCAGCCAATATCATAATGCCCCTATATAAATCAATGGTGCGAACTTATTTGGAATACTGTGTGCAGTTCTGGTCACCACACCTTAAAAAGGATATTATAACTTTGGAAAAAGTGCAGAAAAGGGCAACTCGAATGATACAAGGGTTGGAACACTTTCCCTATGAGGAAAGGTTAAGGCGCTTAGGGCTCTTTAACTTGGAGAAATGACGACTGATGGGTGACATGATTGAGGTTTATAAGATTATGCATGGGAAAGAGCAGGTAGAGAAAGAGGTACTTTTCTCCCTTTCTCACAATACAAGAACTCGTGGGCACTCCATGAAATTGCTGAGCGGTTGGGTTAGAACGGATAAAAGGAAGTACTTCTTCACCCAAAGAGTGATTAACACATGGAATTCACTGCCACAGGAAGTGGTGGTGGCTACAAGCATGGACAGCTTCAAAAGGGAATTAGATAAGCCTAT